CAAATTTCATCGAGATCCCTTCAGCCGTTTAGGCTACAAACTCTAACACACATCCATCCATCTAAACTGTCGCATTTATAATCTTAGTAAGAAGTAACATTAATAACGTCATTTTAAAAAACTAACGAACTATCCAAGGTAACGTAATTCTAGAAAACAAATATTTCAAATGTTATTCTACGCTTTTGTTTGAATTAAATTTCCTTTTACAACTATAAACGATTTAAAATAGAACGTAGTTATCTTCATTGTGAATCACGTAAGTATAATTATTGAAGTGATATTTACTTTATGTTACGAGTTCTTTGTTCGATAGCGTAAAGCGAGGGACATGAGACAAAACGCACGGTCCACTGCAGCGACGTCGACGACGCATCCGGTGTCCTGCCTTAACCGTCCACTGTTTAACTACTGGAAACCTCACCAATTTTGTATAATAATCAAAAACCTAGACTACTTAGAATATAGGTGAAGATCTAATAATCGTTCTACGACATTGACTGTGGTTATTAAAGTTTGAAATGCAGTGAATTCTCTCTGAACATAAATACGTGCTTAGAAACTAATTGCTAAGCATGTCATCGTTTTTCTGCCTGTCCCCAGTCTTCGTTGGCATTCCGAAACAAAACCACTACGTGTAAGTATGGCTGCTTACGCCAATTTCCAGTTTGACGAGACTGCCCTGCCTTATTATTAGTTTTGCCCTAGCCAACTGTTTTTATTTGAAACTTGCAGTGCGTTGCTCGTTTGTTATCTGTGCAAATAATGTTCGAGATAAAATTTATTGATCCTTCTTTAACGTTTTCTAATGACTGATCTTCTGATTTAATTTACTTTCTTATGTATTTAAGTATTTACTCTTGAAATGAATTTTCAAAATCTGCGTTACTATTTCAAACTACCTCAAACTTGGTCAATTTTTAGCAACATTTATAAACAACCTGCACATTTTCTACTTCAATTATACTAGACATTAAATAATTTCTATCGTTATTAATGTAATATTTTAAAGCTGGTTTAACTAGTTTTCTCGTCGTGTTTTAGCGAGCGTTTTGCCCATCCAGTCTTTAAATGGATACGACAACTTTTCCTAAGACGATCGGATATCCGGTGCTATTTGCGGGCACGTACCTGTATTACTAGCACTACGTTTAGAAATCCTTGTACCTTGCAATTTTCAATGTTGGTAGCAATAGAAATAATCTTTAAAAATGTAGTAAGAGCTAAAACTTTGTTACTTTTATCTTTACGACTAATATAATTAGATCAAAATAATTCATTTCGGAATTTTAAAATGTTAAAACTGTAAGTTGTTTTTAGGAGATATTAAGAAGCTTAACTAATGGATGGATAGCTGGATGGATTGCGTGAAAGGTGACATGATAAAGAAGGGAATGATGGCTGAGATGACGGATGATAGAGTGCTTTGGATAAGGCAGGGGAGATGATGATTTAGAAGCTAAACTAAAGTTATACAATAAGAGCTAAAATGCAAGATTGTAAATAAAAGGTATTGTATAAACTATCATTTACTTCACATCTTTTAATTGCCAGCTTTAAAATTTTGAGAGCCTCGTACAAGATAGTAGAAATGTATTTTCCAATTTTTATCACAAAAACAGCTATTAGGGTAATCAGTATCATTAAATCTATAGTAGTGATTGATACACGAACTAATCTTTTATCGTGTTTTATTTATATTCCAGGAAAGCTGATAAGAGATAAATTAATCTTAGTTTACTAAAAAACGGAAATACTTTCCTGTAGATATACAGCGTGTGTTTCAAGAAAATTCCTTAACGTGTTGTTAATTGTATTTTTTTTGTCTATTTCATTAGAACAATTAACATCTAGATTTGTAATAAATTTCGTAATTTTTCAGTTTAGTATTTTGCAAGATAGTTGCACATTTTATTGAGGCCGAGGGAGAGATTATTACACACATAAAATATGTTACACAAGTTGGATTGGAGGCAATAGAAAGGACTTATACCTAAGCCTCTCTGTATTCATCAGAAAATGTTAGAATTAATTTTTTGGGATGTATATATTTTTACAATGTACTTACCAGATCAAGCCTCAGACTGAAGGAGACTTTCTTACGCATAGGACCCGCGAGTGGCGCTGGGCCGTCATAAAATGCCGCTTCTTCTAGACCGAAGTCCGTTTCACTTTCCGCCCACTCCAGCTTCATTGCGCTGGGACTGTAACAAACACAATAGTTTTATTATACGACAATCACCCTTTTCCACTACTGAGAGTCGCCATCAGCTGTCAGATTACTCACTTATGTACACATATTTTCTTTCACACAATTCATCTAAACTTACTTCGCTCTTCTATCTTTGTACTAGCATTTCACAACAAATAACATAGTTGACAAATCAAAAGTTCCTTGTCGAATGATTACCACTTTTTATCTATACGCACATTTTATCACAATGTACCTACAAAATTATAAAAACCAAGTTACACGCGTATATCTTTGTATCACTTTTGCCTTTAAACTTTATATTTCAAGATTTTATGATGAACATGTAAGCCATTATTTTAAATTCGTCCATTACATTTCGTAGAACACTCGTATCCCATCAAAGCGATTGGAATTAGTTAACACTTTCGTATGACTTGATCCGGAAGTGTACCCTCCAGCCACGTGTACCATTGCTCTGTCTACACGCAATATACACAAAGTAAAATACACCTTAATCTATTGGAATAGGATACAAAATCATCTAACAAGCATCATCAAAGTAAAAGGATTGGGTGATTCGGTAAATATGTCGTCAGAATTCGGCACGTTAGAACTTCGGTGGGTTGTCGTTGCGCCTAATATCCGCCGGAAACGGCCAGGATCCTGACACCATGAAGGTTATTGTCTTGTAATTGAAACGGTGTGGTGATTTGTCGCACATTTGTAGAGGGTGACTAAATTACGGCTACTGGAAACTCGCTAATGACAATTTGTAGTAACTGTGGGAGACACTGCCGGATTATTTTCTTTAACAATGTTTTCCATTTATAATACAAAACCAAACAATATGGCCGTCACCCAACCATGCTAATACAATGTTTTAATTTTTAACAAATAAGTTTTAATCGATTAGTTACTTGATAAATCGAATTACTTTATTTTTAAAATTATGTATCAAATATTCAAACCATCAGTTTAATTGTTATTACGGTTTATATTGTATTTAAAAAAAAATAAATTGTATTGATTTTTACTACAGAATAATATACACAGACTTTTAGAACAGATTATTAATATTCTGGAATCGCTTACATAAATTTGATTAGTATTATTTTCTGTTGCTGTCTTTATTAACGAAGGAATGTTTTTATTTTTTTAGTTAGATATTTTGTGTATTGTGTATTTTTATTAATAGGATTATACTCCTGTAATATCTGAATGCCAAAAACTATTTTCTCGAAGCGCTTCGAGATACTTTTGACACCCCTGTAGCTTCGTTGTCGTTTGTTTTATTACAAAAGAGTTTTTATATATTTCAACGTCGAATTATCTCAAGTGTATAACTTACTAGCTGTTGCCCGCGACTTCGTCCTCGTGTTATTAGAAAACATACGAATTACATAAATAACAAAAAGCTATATGTAGCTATTCGTCCGTTTTTTGCGTCGTAGGAATACGTCCCTCGGAACCCGGACATTTCTCGAGGATGAATCTTATCTCATATGTACTCCAGACTTTGTTTTATATCTGTGCCAAATTTCAATGAGATATGTTTAACCGTTGCAGAATTATCGAGTAAACATTAAAAACCTAAATTAATAGGAACCGTAACTATTCCCGGGATAAAAAGTAGCCTATGTGTTCTTCCTGACTATGCTCTAAATCTGTGCCATGTTTCATGGAGATCCGTTCAGCCGTTTAGGCTTCAAACGCTAACAAACATCCATCCACCTATCGTAACTTTCGCATTTATATTAGCACTAGCTTTCGCTCGCGACTCCGTCCGCGTGGAATAAAAAAAAAACAAAAGTGAGTAGCCTATGTGTTCTTCCAGACTACCCTCTGCATCTATACCAAATTTCATCGTATCCGTTCAACCGTTTAGGCTACAAACTCTAACAAACATCCATCTATCCATCCATCCATCCATCTAAACTTTCGTATTTATAATATTTATAATATTAGTATGATATGATATAGTTGTACAACTATCACCACATATTAATATCTATCCAGGTGGTTTATCAATAAAAAATTCATTCATCGCGAATTTGTGAATGATAAACAACTTTTAAATCGCACATTCAACATAAAGTAACTGTACAAGATCCGATACGAGTTATCTTTGAATTTCCTTAACACAAACACCAAGATAAGATATAACGATAGATATTAAGATCTTTTAATAATAACATAAAACAATTTACATAAACCGTTTCGTTGGTTGAAGGTTTTCAAACTTAGGTCGAACTCTAACAATTTAGTATGTCTTTGCCCTTTAGCTATTAAAAAATATCCGTCTAATGCTGGCATCACACGTTAGATTTTATATGATTTTATCATTGCAAGCATGAAGTTAATAGCACAGTTTTGTTAGGCACGTGATTATGCGTGTAAAATGAAAACCTGCAGAAGCTAACGTGTGTGGCATGCATAACAGTTATGTTTGTAACAAGAGCTATATTTAATGGTGCATTAAGAGTGTTGCCATAAGGTTCCCGACCTCAGCACGCAACCTCGCATGCCCGATGTCTTCTGCCTTGCATGTGAACTAATTGACTTACTTATACACGAATTGGCGAGTGAAAGTTTTGCAAAATGGTGGCAAGAGTTCCTGGAAGGTTAGAAATTTACCATTAACCTATTCAAGCTCATCTCTTTGATATTAAATGTGCGTTTATATCAATACAATAATTACTTATTTTCATTAATTTATTTGTATACACTTACATTTTACAAATAAGCTATGTATAAAAATAAATGTAAACTTTTCATCTTTATTTTTAAAAACAAAACAGCTGTCAAATTAGCAACAAATACGTCAGGACGTGTTTTAAATGGTATATCTTGTAAAATTAGTTAAGAAACAAAGATTTAATTAGTATAATAATGGCAAAACGATTTACAAAACCTTCAATCAATTGGCTAGAGATTGAGAAAAGATGTCCACCTAACCAGATAAACAATTACAAGGCATTTAGGGCAAAATCCGCTGTTTATTTGCAAAGGTAATTTTTATTTCTCCATATCCAATAGTAAGCACGAAAATGATAATACAATCAATAAGTGTAATTTTGTGTTATGTATTTTTGTAGCACAAGCAAAAATAAATCTATCCTTCGAGAATATTTATATCTTAATAGATATTTGAAACCATAAAAAAACTTTTTTTTTTAAATAGACATTGCCACCAGCATTTTTACTTTTTTGTTTATGTCCTCATTACAGCTTCACTTTTTAAATGTTCTTCGTAAATTCATCAGCCCTTAATATCGTTTTCAATTTGTTTAGAGTGGAGGCAAACCCTAGTGTGATGCCAACTATCGATTGGGAAGCATATAAGAAGTTACTTCCTGAGTCTGATATTGTGGAGAAATTCAAGTCTGAGTTAGAGAAGTTTAAGGTTCCGTATCCAAGCGATGATGTGACTAAACAGATTGACGAGCAATGGAAGACTATAGAAAAAGATATAGAGAAGTTCTGCGCTGGACAAAACAAACATATCGATGCGTAGGTTTTGATTAAAATAATTTTTCTAATAATTAAAGTGTAGATAATTAAAATATAATATTAAATTAAGCGCCAATATCCTAATGGTTTGGGGTACGCACTCCGACCTTACGGTTAGTGGTTCGAATCCCGCCATTCGACTATTGTCGTGAACCACATCCTAGCACAAGCCTAGAGCTTAGTTGGAATGGTTAAAGGAAATTTTAGTAAATTAACAAAAATCTACTAACATTTCTTCCAAAAAAAAAAAAAGAAATATATACGAAGATATTCTGAAAATGCGCTTTAGATTGTCTAAAGGAGCTGTTATACATTTTAAAGTAACTTACTTTGTACTATGTAGTGAAAGGAAAGAGCTCAATTCTAGGAAACACTATTTCTTAAAAGTAAGAATTGTTCCATACATTTTCTGGCATTAATATTTGTTTACAATCTACTCTGACTTGTATGTCTATATTGATTCCTGATTGTTCTATATATTATTACTAGCTTTTGCCCTCGACTCCGTCCGCGTGTGTTCTTCCAGACTATCCTCTACATCTATACCAAATTCCATCGAAATCCCTTAAGCCGTTTAGACAACAAACTCTTAACAAGCATCCATCCATCCATCTAAACTTTCGCATTTATATTAGTATGAAGTATTACGATTTTTTTTCAGCGCAACTGTAGAATTGACAAGAATACGTAGTCTTCCGAAATTTGAAGATATGACTATGGAAATGTTTTTCCATTTGTACCCAGAACAGGCGTTAGATCCTGTGAATAAACCTACGTACTGGCCCCACTACCCAGAGGATCAACCTGGATATGTGGCTCCTGAAGAAAAAGCCAAGAAAGCAACGAAGAAATAATAAAAAAATGTTATGAAAAACTTTGAAGAATATTTAAATATACGAGAATAATAAAACAGAATACATTTTATTGCAATGACAAATATGAAGTTGGTAAGAATTAAACGTTTTAGACCAAACAACTTGCAACCAAATATGTATTAAAAGAAATACAATTATCTGTACAAAAACACCTTAGTTGCGAATTCACTCTATAAATGAGACAACTCATATTAAGACAGTAATCGAGATCGACACAAATTCTTTCTTTAAAAGGAGTCAGAGCCCAATGTTGTTTAAGATTTATAAAAAAAAAATAATTTGTCACATACTAGCTGTTGCTTGCGACTTTGTCAATGTGGCATTTAAAAATCGTACAAAACATATAGCCTATATTACTTACAGGTAACAGTAAAAGTTAATGGTGAAAGTTTTTTTAAAACAGCCCAATAGTTTGTCAATTATGTCAATACATACAAAAATACAAATCTTTTTCCTTTATAGTATTAGTATGAGCTGCTAGCTGAGTAGCTGAGGCCAGAATTAAATTTTTAACGAAATATAAAACAGGAGTCATTGCTCCACCATAATTGAAGTCCAAACAACGCAGTGCTCATTGTCTATGGACAGGGCACGAAGGGCTGCGGGTTAAATTTAGCCCCGCTCAGGGCCGCCACAGACATTCGGCCAAGAGATCGCGCGTGGCAAATTGTGACGGATGATTGTATTGGATTTCACTGCGATTTATTTTCAGATCGATATATTAACGTCTGGAACTTGGCTTGACTAATTGACGGGATATACTTTCAAAATTACGTACATTAAATGAGACATTTGATGCGATAGGGTTGAAGTTAAAAATAATAAGATCAATAGACAAACTTGTTAATATTAAGAAAAAAAAATTAACTTACAATCGCTAAGTTGTTTAGAAGCTTGGCGCTTTTAATAGACCTTTCAGCGAGCAAGCTTTATGAATGAACTTTGTTATTGCCAGTCGGGGAATGTTCCGAGTATATTCAAACGATTGGTGCTCCCCCCCTGCAGCCCCCACCAGCCACTGCGCCGCTTCCGAGAAAACTCACTGACCCAAGCTCAGTATATCCAACTCTAAGAATTGATAAGTATATGCGATTCGATATCAAGAACAACGCTGTTAATAGTATAGTTGTTCAATTGATATTTGTAAACATAAAGGTAATAAAATTAAAATAAAGCTATCGTATGAAATAAGATCGTTTTTATATTGAGATATGTGTAGTTTATTCTTCTAAATGTATGTGTTTCGAAGTTATTTCGAAATATGATATAAAATTGTCCATTCCTTTGTTAACGTATCTGATTTCATGCAATAAAAAGAAAGTTTAATCCAAAGCTGAACAAATTTGGACATTACTAAAAATTACATATAAAAATGAGTAATAGAAAGCAAAATGATTATTTAGATAAGAACCGACGAAGAATTTTTAGACATTAAATAATACTAGATTTGGTTATGCCGAGGAATGATCTCAGTTTAGGGAGAGAGTACACGAAGGGGCTGATTAATTAACCATTATACTATTCTTAATGTATCGATAAGTCTTACTAACCTAAATATCTCATACTAGCTGTTGCTCGCGACTTCGCCCGCGTGATATTAAAAAATATAGCCTATGTCAGTCACAGATAAATTGCCTTTTTAACGGTGAAAGAGTTTCTAAAATCGGCCCAGTAATTTTTGAGTTATTTCAATACAAATCTTTTCTCTTTATAATATTAGTATAGATACAGAAGTACAGACTAACAGTTAATCTATTATAACATCTTTAGAAAACAATATAAATGTGTTTCAAGTGTTTGTTTGTCGGGTCGTTTAAGAATGGTGTATAAATAAATGCCAGGAACATCCCTTTCCGCTTGCTACGGTTGATCGCGTATCAGTCGACAAAATGGGACATCCCTTGGTGATAGAAATAGATTGGTACCTAAACAGTACTAATGTCCTTACAATAGATACAGTCTTCACAATTAAGTCAAAGTTTTAATTGTTACTTAAACAGTCCTGAGTATAGATTTGTCATACTCAAACTGAATTGTCAGTGTCGATTTAAACTGAAATCGGTGGTAGGAAAAAATTGCAAATAAGTCCTATATTTTGTCGTATATTTTGTATGGTCAATAAAGCTGAGCTGAGCGTGGGTGTAGCGAAGAAGGGTGGCCACCTGTTGCATACGGGCTATATTTAGACCTCCCCCGCGCCCAACCCCTCACCCCGCCTGACAGACGCTCATAACTCTATGACTAATGTGAGAAAAGGAATTTTAAATCAGTTTAATTTTGTGACATACAAAAGGAATAAGTCCCATGAGTTAAAATAGTAATAAATGTAGCCTATGTTACTCGTATAACGTAGCTTTTTATTAGTGAAAGAATTTTAAAAATTGGTCTAATATTTTTTGAGTTATTTCAATAAATACAAAAATACATATCTTCCCACTTTATAATATTGATATAGATATAAAGTTTCCTTTATCTACTGTAAAAGATTATTGAGTTTTGAAGATAAAAAAAAATAGATTGCCTTAAACTATAGTTAAATAAAAGCTCTGGCTGCAATCTAATAAATCAACAATGGTACATTGTAGGTTATGTTTTGAATATGGTAACATATTCTTTATTTTATTCCAATACAAGAATACAATTCTATTTTAAGTCGTGAAACGATTGGTGAAAGATACATATGATCGAAGTAACGTGTTCTGATGGCGTCGATAAAGGGTTACCTCGTATCAAAACAATCTTTATGTTGCGTGCTGAGACTCCTCAAATAATCTATGCATTTGTTGGGATGACATACTTTGAATTTCAAATCATATTGCCTGATGAGTTTTCACTACTGAAAAAGTTATAAGAAAACTATATCACAATTTACAAATAGACCAATTACACAGTGTCATGTTTGGGCTTAGCTTTTTTATTATGAGATAGCTACTATTTTGTGATCATTTTACTTATGTGTCTAATATGCCGTAAATTTACCAATAAATAAAATGTTATAGATAATAGATATAACAAAAAAGACTGCTAGACAAAGAAAATTTTTTATTATACACTGTCCCTTTTTATTTTGATAAAATCATTATAACAACTCGCAAGAAGGATTTATTTTGTTTGTGATACTAATGTAATCTATACATCACGAAATATATAACGCAATTAAAAAGTTTTTATGCCGAAAAAATTCTGCGTTGGACATAAACGCGTTATTTTAGGAAAATAGACAATTATTATATTTTATTCGCATAAAAAAACACATTTTAATGTTATATTGTGATATGTATTTCATTTGGTAATAATACAATATAATCGGATGGGATAAATGGGATGAGTTCAAAACGCGCAGACATTCAACGTTCATACCGATGTACACAGATGTTGACAATTTGATTCAGGCATGGTGATTTAAGTTATAAAAATAAAATAAAAAACCAAGTTTGTAATCGTCTTAATATCGTCACTATGAGTAGGACCGTGAGAAGAATGCAATCATTTGTATTTTAACTGTCCCTTGTCCATTGTCCGCACCTACTCTACGATATGCTATGGACATTTCGATGGCGAGAAACCTTGGCCTACACCAACCCACGGGTCCCTTAACCCACTCAACTTTATCTACTAATAACGTAGAATTGTATATTTTTAGTCTTGTGCCAACAGACGTCGTGTAATATTTTGCATTTATCCAGAAAAAAAATGTTTACAACGCCATCTCTCGGTTTAAAATGAAATTAATTAAACAGCAAATAAAACTGCTTCAACCGTTTTTTAATTCACATACTCTACATATCTTTCGGGGTAGCCTTTAAAAAAACGTTAAAAATATGCATACTTTTTTTTTATAACATAAGGTGGCAAACGAGCAAGCGGCCACCTGAATCCGCCAAAATGGCGAAGCGACCGCTGCCCATAGACATCTGCAATTGCAGATGCGTTGCCTACCCTTATCCGACAGAGGAGGAGACGCACATAAAGAGTATATTTGCCCTTCCTATGCATCTCCTCCTCCGTCAAATCCACTTCCTCTTCCCATCCTCTCCTAAAAGAAACGGGTGGTAAAGAGAAAGGGACTTAAATTAGGCCTCCGGCACCACACTCATCAGACGAAACACGGAATTGCTTCCATTTCACGCCTGTCTTCTGTGTGGTCGTGGTATTACACCGGGCGTGTCGACCCTGCAGTGCTAAGATGTTAAAGCGGGCACTACCATTGTCAAAATACAAATATATACCAACAAATACGGAATTCTCACATATGAATTGTAAATCTCCATCGTTTTAAAAGTGATAAGTTTGCAATTGCATTACATCTGACAGTGAAGGAGCACCACTATTAGCATACAAAACTGTTTACCAATACGCACATTTTTACAGTGCATTTACAGACAATGCTGTTTTAATGTTTACTTGAATACCACAATATTGAAATGAATCAATTTAACATTATAAAAACGTTATGGCTAATACATAGTCTTACTAATATTATAAGATGCAAAAGTTTAGATGGATGGATGGATGTTTGTTAGAGTTTTTAGCCTAAACGGCTGAACGGATCTCGATGAAATTTCGTATAGACGTAGAGACTACACACACAAGAACACATAGGCACTTTTGTTTTTTCGATCCACGCGGACAGAGTCGCTAAAAATCGTAATATTGCAGCATTAGTTTAATTTTGCGTAAAACCTCTACAACTTACTTAACGATTATTAACCACTTTCTAGAATGTATATGCACTTTAATATGAATGCTTGACATATACATTTTATATTGTGATGTAAAATTAATTGTATTTATTACTTTATCGCAGTCATCGAACTCAAGCTTGCTGTGCGAGACACGAGCCTGTGTATGTTGTTGTGCATACAAACTTTTTATATGTAGACACAGCCTTATAAAGCTTTTGTGCTGTGACAAGTCTATTATCCATTTTGACCTAGTCTTTTTAAATTCAAATTGAAGTTTTGTAAACATCCTGTGGTGTTTTAAATAGTGTTTTCAATTTTTAAATCTATTTCAAAAAGAAGAATTTTCGAATCG